CAACTCACAACAATACAAATTCCATACAACAGTATAGTTTGTAACAGCGTTGAACATGTCGAATTTTGTGCCTAGAAACTACGATTTGCGGAGCATTGATTTTCTGTTACCATTTGAAGAAATCTGCTGCAGAATCGCATCGAATGCTTGTCGAAGTTTATGGTGAGCATGTTCTTGGTAAATCACAGTGTTTTGAGTAGTTTAAAAAATTCAAAAGTGACGATTTTGACATGAGAAACGAAGAACGTGGAAAACCACCGAAAAAGTTTGAAGAGAGCGAATTGCAAGCCTTATTGGATGAAGATGCTGAAACTCAACAACTCGCGGATCAATTGAATGACACGAGAAGCCGTCTCCATACGTTTGAAATCCATGAGAAAGATCCAGAAAATGGAAAAATGGATTCCACATGAACTGAATGAAAGACAGTAAGAAAACCGAAAAACCACTTGCGAAATGCTGCTCGCCAGGTACAAAAGAAAGTCATTTCTCCATCGAATTGTGACTGGCGATGAAAAGTGGATATATTTTGAGAATCTTAAGCGTAAAAGATCATGGGTAACTCCAGGCGAATCATCGACATCGATTGCAAGGCCAAATCGCTATGGATGGAAGACAATGCTTTGTATTTGGTGAGATCAGAAAGATGTGATCTATTATGAGCTGCTAAAACCTGACGAAACCGTTAATACTGAACGCTACCGACAACAAATGATCAATTTGAATCAAGCTTTGTGTGAAAAACGACTGGAATATCAAAAAAACACATAGTGATTTTGCTTCATGATAACTATCACACACAGCAAAACTGATCAAGGAAACGATTGAGGCATTTGATTGGGAAATACTTTCGGAAATGCGGCTTACTCACCAGACTTGGCTTCGTCCGATTACCATTTATTTGCATCGATGGAACACGCACTTGTTCAGCAGCGCTTCACTTCTTACGAAGATGTACGAAAATGGCTAGATGACTGGTTTGGCTCAAAAGAGCAACAATTTTTTTGGCGTGGCATCCACAAATTGTCAAACAGGTGGAAAAAATGTATAGCTACCGATGGGCAATACTTCGAATAAAATATTTTTTATGCAATCAGTTTCATGCAATAAACGTATATTTTCTATAAAAAAATTCCGATTTCATATTTACATACCTGGTATTTAACAAAAAGCACTTTAAAAAAAAACCTTTTAAAATATTTGTGACATTTGCGATTTTATTGATCACAATTTGTTTTAACTGTTATAAGCATAATAAAAAAAATCATAAAAACGATAAGAGTGCAGGATGCGTTTTCACTTTCATGATAAAGAATGTTACTTCATAAAAATAACACGTTATCGTTATTGTTTCTAAAAAGAAATTTGTTACTGTTAGTTACAAAATAATAATTCGTTATTTTTTGTTACTTTTTTGTATATGTAAGAAAGTCACTGCAATATACACTCCACTGTTGTAATCAATTGTTTATACGAAACCGTGAATTATTATTAGGATATATTCACGAATGAATTTTCTAATTCTTTTGATTTATTCTTTTGATCGTTATAATTTAAAAAATTTTTATCATATCGCGAAAATTTATAATATTTTATTTGAATACGCAATTACTGTTACACAATTTTTGAAAGAATGGCGATAGCAAAAATAGTGAAAATTACGAAATATGATCCGTTTAAGATTATTAATGCAAAAAACATGTTTTTCGCGAAATTGCATAGTCATGACGTACTTTAAGTTCAATGTTTATATGTAGTAATCTCTTTAACAGTAACGTTGCTACATATTGAATCGCTTTTAACGAGTCGCGTTCATGAATTTTAGCGATGTTGAATTTAAAACAGATACAAACGAATATTTTTTATGTCAATTTTTTATTACACTACTGCTATACTTATGATGAATAATCGTTATAATATTAATATATAATATTAATATATAATAATACATTTCATGTGTACTCATGTACGTATTCTTGTTGGATAAATATGTATATATCGCAGACAACGCATACGATACACATTTTGATAAATTTTTGGATGGAGATGGCATTTTAAGAAATATTTCGTAAGAATCGTAAGTATTAGCAGTGAATAAAACATTGATACAACATAAGTAAAAATGCGAATGTGACTTGAAAAAGCATTGAATTCTGTCGAAAAAATATATCAGAAAATATATTATGTGTTAATTTAAGAAAATATTAGCTTGTGTTAAACACTTTACTTTAGTAAGTGTAAAGCCGAACTTTTCAACGCCATTTTTCTCAAGACTTATACAGATAAGTGAGGTAAGTCCGATAAGTTTTGATAAAGTTTTGATTCATGTGTAAGTAGAGCAGACTAAACTAAGTCGAAAAGTCCTTTAGAGAAGACCATTTTGTACAATTTTTACAATATGTATGAGATATGCACATAATGAACGAAATATTAATTTCTAAAGATAGACGGTAAAATCGATACATAAGATAACTTTAACTTTAAAATTTCTTTTAGAGTTATTTTATGAAATGTCTTAAAAATATGTATGTTTTTTAAAGGGATCCTAAGCTTGAATTCCGATGAAGTCATCAGAGGTCGCGCCACGCATCAACATATTTTTATATATTATCACACCAATATCTCACGCAATCTACGATACACGCAGTCTCACATTCTTGTCAATTTTCGTATAACAAATTCGTCGCAATGAAGCGTCTAATTCTAAGAACTCGACGTTGTATTTGTTCGTGCAAACTACGTGTTTGTGAATTATTATTTTGTAAGTAACAGATTGCAAAACTTTCGTATCAAGCAAATGTTGTCACGACTTGACAGCTTGAGACGCCATGTTATACTAAGAAATAGTAAAGTATACAATTTTGAAATTTTTGATCTTTCTCAATATAAACTTCATCTACAAACACGTATTAATGCGTAATATATTTTAATCTTGGAAAAGGCTTTTCGAATCCTGTGGATGTGAAAGAGAAAGAAGTATTTGTTATAACAAAAATTATATGATTTAGTCGGTAATACAGACGGCTTTAGGATCCTCTTAAAAAACGTTTAAAGATATCTTAAAGTTGTTTCATGCATCGATTTTAGAAATTCTATAGAAATTCATTAAATAACTAAAAAAAATTGCGAAAATTGCAAAATGTGGTAGAGGACTTTTCGACTTAATTTAATTCGCTCTACACACAAGCGCTTTGTCAAAACAAACTTCTTATCGAATACCTCGTATATATGTATCATATAATGTAATGAGTTGACTTAATTGGTTGATTGAGATTTTTTGTCGATGCATCAAACGGTGTATTCCTCTTACAGTATCATTGATTGATACAACTTAATTCAAAAGTCTAATTTGAATAAGAATTAAATAATGATTTTTACAAAATAAATAGTCTCATCAAATAATTAACAGTAATATAACTGTTTGACATTTGCTGGATGTCGTTTTAATAAATTCCTAAACATAAAACAAACGTTATTGAATTTTGTATAAAATATAATATTATAACATATAAAAAATATTCTATAAATTAACATATAAAATTAACATATAAAATTAACATATAAAAAATATTCTAATAAAACATTGTATTATATCATTATGTCAATTTTTTGAAAATATTTTTGATTTTTTTGATTTTTATTACAGATCATTTATACGTTGATCAACTTGACAAAATCAGATTTACGTTTATAATTCTGGAAGTACTGCAACTGATGATCCTGTGTTTATTCTTGTAAGAAATTAATAGACAAAACCCAGAATGCATTTTAAGCATGTAATAATTATTTTATATTCTTAAATATATTTATATACTACATACACATTTACAAATGTATTTTAATATACAGGGTGTCTAGCGAGACTAACAATAGAGTCTAACAATAATTCACAGGAAGGTCTTTGGGACTAAACTGAGTGGAAAAGTCCTTTACCATTTTGCAATTTTCGCACTCGGTATAATTTTGTTAAAAGTTATTTCAGATAATAAATTAATAATAAATGAACTAATTTCAATAAATTAGGCTTTAATTGTGCATGTGTTAATATTCTTCTGTCCACAAATAAGAACAAATTTTAAAGTAAAATCTTAATGTTTATTTTGGAATTTTCTTTCAGATACTTTGAGGAATACTTATTTCTATCGAAATATTAAAATCATTAACAATTGTAATATAACTATTTACAGAAGTATTATGCCACGTAGTTACAGATAATTTATTTCTAAACAAAGTGTCTTAAGACCGCAATGTGAATACACAATAAGTAACGAAAAGGTCTTATCGATCTGAAATGGATGCTAATGCTTAAATATTTTAATGTGAATTTATACACATCCCATTTTACTGTGCGTCGTAATCATTTTTCAGTCTTTAAACGGAATTTTAAACCAAATTGGGATAATACAATAATATCACAAATTAAATTCAAGCAATTTAATAATTGATGCTAAGCATCCTAAAGAATAAGCATCTTAAAAAGCTGTAAATAATTTATTGGGACATATATCGGTCATGATTTGATTTGAACCTTTCTACATTCCGTGATGGATGTCTTAACCATTTCGACTAGTGTTGTGAAGTTGGTGATATTTTGTCACAATAACTAATATATAATTAAGATTGTTTAAAGACTAAAAATAATTTGGGCATGCAGTTGTAGAATTGAATATGTAGGTCAGACCGATAAGACCTTTTTGTTACGTTATTGTAAATTATTTCCGTTATCATGGTTGATTTATGGCGCGATAAATAAGTACGAGGTTTCGTTAATTGATATGCGGTTTATGGAAAATGATTTATACGTTTTTGTATTCGATTTGAAGTTGTACGAACATGTCTTATTTTACAACATTTCTGTGGTTTAAAGATTAATTTATTCGAATTTTCGAAAACAACTTTAGATCAACTTTAAGACTATTATTCTTTGAAGATAATTTTATGTATGTTCATATGTATTTCGCATGCATAAATATATTTATCTAAAAATTTACAAGACATACCTGATTTCCTGGTATCACACCGCCCCAAAATGCAACGTCTACAAATGTTTTCGCATACGCTTCCCTTGCTTTAACTTTGAGATTATCCAAAGTAGTAGTAGGCGGAATAGAATTTCTATATCATGAGAAAGATTAGTATATGAGATAGATATAGTATGTGTTTAAAAATAATTTTGTCGTTCAGACAATAGTTATAAGAGAATATAAATTGTTACAAGGGCATATCCGCGATTGTAGTAACACCGCCAGCCGCGGCCGCTTGTGTAGCGGTGTGAAATCCTTCCCATTCGATTCTTCCGGGCTCATTTACGTGCACGTGAGAGTCTACTATTCCAGGCATTAGCACTAATGAGCCGTAATCATTAAACACAATGCCGGGATATTTCTGAAATGCACGTCGATTCGCATTTCGTCTCCTGTCTCAAATAATTTATACGGAACTTACCTGTGATAAATATCGTACAACATCTTCATTAGTGTCGTACAATATTTCCCGTATTTTTTCATTTATTACAACCAATGTAGCCGGTTGAATACTATTCATAAAAACTGTTCTTTGAGATACAAAAGCACAAATTCGGGAATCTTCTTGAAATTGCATGTTTGAACGTGCACTGTCAAGTACCATTAGGTAGTAACTGTGAGTGCAATGCGCAATTCGTATCTATAAATACGTACTTATAGCAGTGCCGCCGCTGACGTACAAGGTACCTTTGCGCAAAGGGAATTTTACTATACCTTTAACATTTTTATTTATCTTTTAAATAAGCGATATTTTTTTAAACAATTGTTTAAATATCTTTAGAGAAAACGCAATTTTTTATTTTTTTAGGACATTTATTATGTTTTATTACTTTCTCTCTATTAGGAAATGTGAAAAGTGAAAAGTGTTATTGAAGTTACTAGAGCAATTTTTCATTTTTCACTTTTTCCGCTTTAGAGAAATTATTACATGATCGGTATCCTGATGCTACAATAGCTTGACATGGCTTTATATATACTAAATTTTAATAGCATGGGTAACAAACTACTATCCGATGATAGTAGTTTGTTACCCATGCTAGATTTTGTAATGCAGTTTTTCTAAATTGTACAGTACACATTTCGAAAAAAATTAAATCTCATAGAAGCAAGCACATATAATTAATATTCGGAATGAAAAATTGATTTTTTAAAAAGTTACTACTGGTGGCCCCCTTTAATGCATCTTTGCGCAGTGCACAATTTGTTCACCTTGAGCCGACTCTGGTTTGTAATTTAGAATAGAATACCTTATCAAGTGGCAGAGTACATAGATAAGCACAAAAATATAATGCCTTATTAAGCGGCAGAGTACATAGAGATGTGACATTGTATTATACATGTTGATAAAAATATAATGTCATTGATGTGACATTGTATTATAAGCATGTGATAAACATAATACAGTATTATAAATAAATATTAATATTGATAAAATATTAATAAATAGATGCTTAATATTGTGTAAAAATAACATCGTTTCTTCTCAAGCTGTACAAATATTTGAAATCGACCGAATAGGTATTTATTAATACTCAGCCTGCATTAGAAAGTATTGAGAAATAAAAAAAATTCGAGTGATTGCTTTCCATTAATATTATTCTTATATTCTTGATTATTTGTTGTGTTACGCGACATCAGCACGCATATGTCACTCCGAAGAGATGCACGAAATTATATTCTACAAATGAAATTATAGCCTATAGCTTTCGAGACACTAATAATATGATCTGCGCTGTGATGATGAAATGACATCCTGTAATTTTATAATTCTATCTAATTTTTTCAACTCATGCCGAAATCGATCGATATACTGTAGCTTATACTCGCGCTCCCTCATTTCTATTACAGCTCTCAGATAAGTAGAAACGAATCATGCTAGTAAATATACTTCGAGAGTATAATGTCAATAGAATATTTTTGTCGTGCTTGGGACTTTGGCCATTTCAACGTAAGCTCGCAAGACGTTTGTTACCAATGTTCTGTTTTATACTTGAAATAAGTTACTTACCATTCGAGGTAATACGGTCATTATATTTTATTTTCTCAGTACATTCAATTAATTAAAATGTCTCTCATGCCAAAACAATATTACTTTTTTTATATATCTGACAAATTGTAAAATTAATTTATCCGTAGATATTAACATTATATATTAATAGATACAATGGACAAGTAATTTTTGAAAGTCTGTATCAAATGGTCGTAACATTGGCTTTTCTCATAAAGTTTTTAAATCAGATTTGGAACCGCGACAAGGTAAGTAATCAAAACCGTTTGAATTATATTATAGACGTTATAGATATTTATAACACAAATATTTTCACTTTCTTCATTAAAATAATATTTCCTATACACATACGAGATATCCAAAAGTTCCAAAATTTGTCTATAAATAAAAGTACATTATATAACTTTATATATTCTTATACACCATCATCACTTTCAAAGTAGTGAGCATACACGTCGATTTCACTACTTCACGAATGGAATTCATCATGAAAATATTTTTTAACAAAATTTAAAACTGCTTCAATTTGAATCTTTTTTGCAGTGATAAAATATCTGTTTTTAACTTAATTTTTATCTTGAGAAAAAGAAAGAAATCTCGAAGAGTGGCTATATAGAGAAGATTTAAGGTAGTGTATCAGGTATGTAAATGTGAAACCGGAATTTTTTAATAGAAAATACACGTTTATTGCATGAAAATGATAAAAAATATTTTATTCGAAGTATTGCCTATCAATAGCTATACATTTTTTCCACTTGTTTGACAATTTGTGGATGTCACGCCAAAAAAATTGTTGTCTTTTGAGCCAAATCAATCATCTAGCCACTTTCGTACATCTTCGTAAGAAGTGAAGCGCTGCTGAGCAAATGCATGTCCCATCGATGCAAATAAGTGGTAATCGGACAGAGCCAAGTCTGGTGAATAAGCCGCATGCGAAAGTATTTCCTAACCAAATGCCTCAATCGTTTCCTTGACTAGTTTTGCTATGTGTGATGGTGCATTAGCAATGAAGCAAATTCACTTTGTGTTGCCTTTTTTGATATTCTGATCGTTTTTCACACAAAACTTGATTCAAATTGATCATTTGTTGTCGGTAGCGTTCAGTATTAACGATTTCGCAGATTTTAGCAGCTCATAATAGATCACACCTTTCTGATCTCACCAAACACAGAGCATTGTTTTCCGTCCATAGCGATTTGGTCGATGTCGATGGTTCGCCTGGAGTTACCCATGATTTTTTACGCTTAGGATTCTCAAAATATATTCACTTTTCATCGCCAGTCACAATTCGATGGAGAAATGACTTTCTTTTGTACCTGGCGAGCAGCATTTCGCAAGTGGTTTTTCGGTTTTCCTGCTGCCTTTCATTCAGTTCATGTGGAACTCATTTTCCCATCTTCTGGATCTTTCCCATGGATTTCAAACGTAGTCGAGACGGCTTCTCGTGTCACATTCAATTGATCCGCGAGTTGTTGTTGAGTTTGAGCGTCATCCTTATCCAACAATGCTTGCAATTCGCTGTCTTCAAACTTTTTCGGTGGTTTTTCATGTTCTTCGTTTCTCACGTCAAAATCGCCACTTTTGAATTTTTTAAACCTCTCAAAGCACTATGATTTACCAAGAGCATGCTCACCGTAAGCTTCGACAAGCATTCGATGCGATTCTGCAGCAGTTTTCTTCAAATGGTAACAGAAAATCAATGCTGTCCGCAAATCGTAGTTTCCAGGTACAAAATTCGACATGTTCAACGCTATTACAAACTATTCTGTTGTATGAAACTTGTATTGTTGTGAGTTGAAAATCTTTGTCAGATGTCAGAACAAGGAAATGACGTCAATGGCGCCGTCTGACGGCAACTACATTGACAGCTATGGCCATCTATTGTAAATTCCGATTTCATATTTACATACCTAGTAAATTTCATAGGAAGTGTTAAACTCACTCATTAAAAAAAAGATTTTTAAAAAGCATTTTATTTGTGATATAAATATTGGGATCAGTGTTTTAGGAGTACGTTCTTAAGAGGACTTCTTAAGAAAATGATGATAGTCCATAAAATCCAAGATTAGTATATTTTTATTTATAAACAAATTTTATATAGGGGAAATCGGGGCACCATTGATCACAGGATGGGTCATTGATTGTTAAATTGTTATACATAAGCTAGAATGTTTAAATTAGTACTACTGTACAATACAACTGTTACTTCGTTGCCCATACTTTTTATTTAGATGGCAAATGATTAAATTTCTTTTTTGTAGCGAAAAGCATCGATTATTAATGGTTTTCGTAGCAATAATAACTTTTTAATCGCATAAAAATATTTTAATATTGTTTTTGTAGTAGAAGATACATATATGAAGATAAGGTGCAAGTTCTTCACATCTCAACTTACTACATTACAAGTAATAATTTATTTTTTATAGTTTAAATATACTATTAAATGTATAAATGGAGTACTATGAGTCATACATTAAGTATTCATTAATGAAACGGAATAATACAGAAAATATATATACTAAAAGAGCAGCTTATACTTCTAAACAATTAATTTTATTTTATTGTAATAAATTTTTTATCTTATATTGATAGTTACTTCTCATTTGTTTTCTTAACTTTCTATTTTAAATAATTATTTAATAATTATTAGTTGTAATTATATTTTATTATATTAATGTCTATGCTAAGAATGTGTAGTTAATTGAAAATATTTTTCAAATTTCATCATCGTTATTTCTTGTCTACTATTTTGTGTGACTTATGATACCCCAGGTATGGAGCATCATGGGTCATTTTTTAAAAAAAAATTTTTATTTTTTTTTTTTAACTAATAAATATTTATTAAATGTACTTATTAAATTTTTAAATATGCTTTAATTATTAAAAAAAATGATACAAAAATTTGTATATTTAAATGCACTTTTGAATTTGAATTTTTATGACTCATGATGCCCCGGTCTCCCCTATCACTTGGATCTTTGAAATCGATAATTATAATATATCACTTGGATCTTTGAAATGTTTTTTACAAATAGTTTCATCATTTATATGAAATCATGGAAAATCATTGGAATATATTTACAAATGATTTGGAAGTTCGAATTTTGAAAAGTTACTCTCACATATCGCAGAAATTTACAGTATCTTACTCGAGTAAGTAGATTATATTAGAGAAATAAAAAAGTAATAACGAACGCGGATTTAGTGCAGAAGATTATTATTGAAAGAATAATGCATATTTCACAAATTTGCAGTATTAATGTACACCATGATGTCGATGTTTATAATGATACCGTCACTAGGACCGATGTTTCTCGATGTTGTATTGCCTCTTAATAAATCGCGTCTGCGAAATATCGCAATATATAGCGAATACGGAATAGATCAAGACAAATATTTTGTACCAATTTTTTTGTACACTTCTATTATGATCACGGTGGGTATAACGATCATGGTAGCTGTTGATACCATGCATATAGCATGTACCTCACACGCATGCAGCTTATTTCAACTTATTGGGTAAGTGTGGGAGAATAAAACATTTACGATACATTTTCACAAAATATTCGTGATATTGCAGCCAACAGGTTGAAAATGTAATATCAAATGTTCCTATCGACAATGAAGACAACCAAATCAGACATTGTACAAATACAGAATATAAAATGTTCAGCGAGGAAATGATATATCGGGAATATATCATCTGTTTAAAGAAACATCAACTTGCTTTAGAGTAAAGGACTTTTTTTGTGTGATTTTTTTCGATGTTTTTACGTCAAATACTTATATTAAATAGCACTTAATAAATCCAATTAAATAAGAGAAATCCTAGTTTTGATCAAAACGGATCTTTTTAATACTTCAATTAGAGATGTTTCAATACGCATCGATAAATTGAAATATCAAAACATCATTTGATTTTCAATATTTTACATCGAAACTTTAAGTTCCAGATATTATTATAAAAATTGAATAGAAACGTGCGCATCCGCATTTATGGATCATCTAAAAGTAGATGATTTTTGGAAATGAGAAGTTGATTGTCTAACTAATTACAAACTATGATGTTTTCGGCCGCTCTGAGTGACAATATATAGAGTGTATATATTGAGTGCTTTCCATTTAGTGACACAAGTTAACACAAGTGTGTATCTTTATTACTCATTGAACTCACTAAGAAAGATAGAAAAATATAGATGCTCGTGTCTACTTGTGCCATCAAATGGAAAGCATCTACAGTAATGTAGGTTTGTTCGTGTCACATGTTCCAACATGCTTCATGTTCTTATGCTTCATGTTCTTACTATAATTCCTATTCACTCCAATGAGCGAATTGGAGTGAGTAGGAGCTATGCTAAGAGCATATTGAAACATATTAGAGCATGTGATGCGACAAATCCAGTATTACATATGTGCGCATCAAGTGCTCGGTGTAAACTAGAGCCATATTGGTAGACAGAAAAAATTGCGACTTTTTTTTGTATGAATTTAAGAACGCGCAATTTTAAGTTTTAAAATTGACGGCATAATATGTCTAAAAAATATATAAAAATTCTGGGAATCCAGAAGAGACAAAAGTGGCATTTGCTCTTTCCTGAATGACAATTTCTGTTTCTGGATTTATATTTACTTTGTCACGGTGAGAAAGCTTTTAATGCCTAAAGATGTATACATTTGTAATTATATATGATATATATAATTATATATCATATATAATATAATATTATATATATTTTAATTCTCGAAATAATAATAATAATAAGCTTTTAATTATAAGCTATATATGTACACATATGTACATGAATATAAATGTATAAAAAAATTACTTTAAATAGCGAAGCGCCACTACGGTCTGAATGTTAAGATGTTGAACTATTATATATATTCATTTAAATGAATTAATTTCAAAAATGATAAGTGCGTGATTATCGGACTTTCAATGCAATCAATCTGAATTATTAATAATTCTCCCAAATTTCTCAAATTTAATCTTAAAAAACTGTAATAAACTTATTGCGAAAAATATTGCCTCGACTGGGAATCGAATCCGGATCTCTTTCCGTGCGAGCGTCCTAAGCCTTTAAGACTACCGAGATCATATTGGCACGTAATCATTTCTGAAATTAATTCATTTAAATGAATATATATAATAGTTCAATATCTTAACATTTAAACTGTAGTGGCTCATATTTAAAGTAATGTATTTAACATAAACGGTCTTATTTCCAATCTTATGTGTAAAAAAAGTTGTGCGATACATTATTTTATTGTTATTAT